GACTGACACAGTGGCTGCAACAATGGGCTCAAGCATAACCACGATTATGAGGATGGTGCAGGACCAGGCAGTGTTTCGTTCTGTTGTACATAGAGTCAATGAGTCAGAAGCAATGGCACCTAACAACACCATCTACTTTGGTATACCCTCATTAACATAACAAAAGAGAACCTCTGTTTCCAAACAGGGTCACATTTACAGGTACAGGGATTGGAAAGTCAACGCATACTTTTTGGAGATACAGATCAATCCACAACAATATCTTAAATAATAAGAAAAATGTATTATCCCATACAACAAGAATTTCAAGTAGAACCGCACCTACTTGATTAATTCAGCAGTTCACCAAAGACCCAGACTCTTTTAATCTCTCTGTTCTGCCAACCTTAGCGTGTCAGTTTGTCCTCAGACCAGCACAGCGGTTCCAAATCCAGCAACATTCATCAACAGAAGAGAATCACTTCTTTTTTCTTTCTGTCTTGTTCTAAGAGCAAGGAAGTCTTCCCCAAGCCTCTAGCAGGTTTCCTCACATCGGCTAGAACTGTATTATCACATGTCCATGCCTAAACAAAGCACTGGCAAGGGGAACAGAACCCCATAATTGGCTTAGACCAATCAGTGTTTCAACCTTTCCCCAAAACTAACCCAGTTTCCTGACTCCTCCTTCTACCCGCCCGCCGGCCCAGTCAATCTCCCCTGAAGTGCATGGTCATGAAGAAAAGGATGGCTCCTTGAGCAGGATCAGGGTTCTATAAGCAAAGAAGAAGGGGGATGAACACTGGTTGAGCAACCAACATCTGTGCTACAGTTCATGAAAAGGGAGAGGAAAGATCAGTGCAGTATTTTAGGAAGCATAGTTTAGCAGATAGAGGGCCTGGGAATAGAGTGACCCAGCTAGAAGAGCCTGGATGTGAGATGATAAGCTACCGAAGCAATGGTTCTCAAGATTGGCTGCCAATTCCTTCATTTATTCATTCACTCAATAGATATTTAATGAATGATTATCATGGGTTAGGTGCTATGGTAGGAACCATAGATAAAATGGTGAACTTATTTCATGGAGCTTCACAATCTAATGGATGAAGCAAATATTAATCCAATAATTACTCAAGTAAATATAAACTTACAACCTGGTTAAGTGTCACAAAGGAATCCTAGATTTTTTCCCTCTATGTTTAAAAATTGAGCTAAAATTCCCATACAGTGAAATACACAGATCTTAAGGGTACAATTTGAGGTACATGTGTAAGCACCACCCCTATCAAGATATAGAAATTTCCATCACCCTAGAAAGTTCCCTCATACCCCATTCCATTCAGTCCCCACCTCCCCCATCAAGATTACTTTTGCCTGTTCTTGAATTTCATATAAATGTCTTCTTTTTCTCACAAAATGTTTTTGAGATTCATCCATGTTGTTATGTTTAAAGATAGTTCATTTTTTAAAAATTATATTCCATTGTATAACTATACCACCATTTGTTTATCCATTTTTCTGTTGGTAGACATTTGAGATGTTTCCAGCTTTGGACTATTGTGAATAAAGCTATTGTGAACATTCATGTGTAAGTCTTTTTGTAGACAGAGGTTTTCATTTCAATTGGGTAAATACCTAGGAGTGGAATTGCTGGGTCATAAGGTAGGAATGTGTTCAACTTAATAAAAACCCTGGGTATTTAAAAAGATATAGATTATGGGCCTCACTCCCAAGAATCCTGAATCAGTCAGTCTGAGGTCACAACGCGTGTATGTAGTTTTTAAAACTCCACAGAACCACTGGATTAAATTATAGTGGTGGTAGTGGAAAGGAAGTTATTTTGGTTTAGTTCTCTTTTCCACCACAAAAGCACATAAATGCAAATGATTTCTGGTTTTGTCTTGTTTTTTTCCTGGTTAGTTGCAAAATAGCTTTCTCTGAACCTTTTTCCCCCCACTCTATCCCTTAGCCCCACTGTCGAAATAGTCTTTGTTTTTGGTTTCTCTGGTGGAATGCAAAGCTGTGGTTTTTCTACTCTCCTGAAGGTGAAGTGAAGGCTCAGTGAGCTCCTTGGAGAAGCTCTTAGATTGCTAAGATGAGTAGAGAAAAACAGGCGTTTAGGGTGGAAGAGAACTTTGTACCCAATGATAGTTGAGGGTGCGTGCCCTGGGCACGCCGGTGGGGTTTTCTCTGCTGCTTTTACTCTTTGCTTACTATTCTTCTACCTGGCAGCAAACATTAATCCGTTGTGTTCTCACTGCCTTCTTCTACTTCAGACTGTTGCTTCTGAATATCCAACAAAGGGACAGCCCCAGTGGCTGCACATTACTAGAGAAGAGGCCCCCAGTTTCTAGGTAGAAAAACAGACACATAGGAGCAGGAAGGGCGTTACTTAATGGATTGGGGCTGGCTGAGCTAGGACCAGAACCCAGGTGGCCTGGCTCCCAGCCTGGCTGACCACACTGCTACCCACACAGCCTGGGCTGACCAAAAACAAACAGCCCATTGAGCAACTGCACAAATAACAAAGCGTGATGGGTAGTCAGAGGAAGAAACAGTCACCAAGCAACTGTAACCCCATCCCTTCCTGGCCCCTGAATTTCCAGACAAGCCTGTAAAGTGTGGCCACTTCAATGAGTTTGACTAGCAAGTTGGCCCAGCTTTCAAACTTGGAAACTTTTGGTGGTCATGCCAAAACAAAAGGTCTGTCTTGTACTGAGGGTGGAGAATGCCTTTGAACACCATACCTGGTCACAGTGAGTCTGTGGTAGTGGAGTGTAAGACTGGAAAGACGTAGTTAACAACTCGGCATAACTCGGCCCTGGGAGGGTCTTGGTGAAACAAGACGGCTTTCAGATGTTTGAGGTTCCTCTTCTGTGGATTTGTTCTCCCCACCTCCGATTTCACTAGCAATGGTTGGGTGTGATCAGTGGAGTTCAGTTAGAATCAATTTAGGTAACCAGGTTTGCTTCTACTCTCCGCCTCAAATGCGCCACTAAAAAGTAGCTACGATTTGTGTTCCCTACATGCTTGGCGCCCAGGCCAAATGGCTCTGCTCGTAGTATTGTAGGTCCTAGGCATGACCGCATGCAAGGCACTCTGACCCACTTGACCTTGGTTGGTTCCAGACCCAGCTCTAAATCCTCAACTCTAAATCCTAGGATATCCTCAAGATATATAGTTGTCTAGGATGTTTTTTGGCCAACATCACAATTCAAATGATGTTGGCGAAGAATATTGAATATACCATGGACTACCAGAGAATGAACAAATTTGTCTTGGAAAAAGTACAGCCAGAATGCTCCTTAGAAACAAGGTTGGTGAGACTTGGTCTCATGTACTTTGGACATGTTATCAAGAGGGACCAGTTCCTGGGGAAGAACATCATGCTTGCTAAAGTAGAGGGTCAGCGAAAAAGAGGAGGACCTTCAAGGAGATGGGGGGACACAGTGGCTGCAGCAATGGGCTCCAACTTGGCAACAATTGTGAGGATGGCGCAGGACCGGGCGGTGTTTCCTTCTGTTGTACACGGGGTCGTTATGAGTCGGAATTGACTTGGTGATGCCTAATAACAACAGGGATGTGATTTGTTTCAGGGGTCAATTTTCTCCTCTGAGCTGGACAATTCAAACATGTATAGACTCAAACTCCTCTCCTTTAGAAACTGAAGACTTCAGGCAGTTGTGAGGGGACAGAAAAGCTGACTGTAAATTTGCTTTTATATAGGCCTAATGGGCACAATTCAGGCAAAAAAACCCCCATTATTTTGAGTATGCAGTTCAGGTCTTACAATGTTAAGAATCCGAATTAAAATTTAGGATTTTGTTGGTCAGATTATAGGCTGGCCTGGTTTGTGTTTGTTATAAAGAGGTATTGATTAAAAAAAATTTCCTACTTCAAACATCCACATTCTCCTAATAGTCATTCATTCAACAAATATGACAGGCCTACTCTATGCCAGGCGTGGCTTCTTTATGCTCTCAAATCCACAGCTCATTGTAGGTCACATGGCACACTTGTGACTTCTGCCTTATGTGATAAAGTTTTATGTATTTTACTAAATCGTAAGATCCTTGATGCCCAAAATTATGTCCTGTTCTTTTTTTTTACTGTGATGAAATAGATGAAATATTTGCCATTTCAAGCAGTTTTACTTGTACAGTTCGGTGACATTATTTACGTTCCCTATGCTGTACAACCATCACCATTTGTTCATTTTGTATCCCCAACATCACTGGGCACACTGCTGTATACATGGCAGGGCCTCAAAAAAATACTCGTTGAATGATACTGTAATACTGCAAAAAGCATCACCAAAAATAAAAGCTACATAACTTTTTTTGATTGCGCTAAGGCAGATGTGTTAATACGATATCACCGTTATCCAAGTAAATAATTATTAAGCATTTATAGAGAAGGGTACGTTCACTTCAAGAGTGAAGGAACAAGGGAAGTACGTAACTAGGTAGAGAGTGGTCTGGAAGAAGCGTTGTTAATTTTCCGCCGGTCTGTCCAGAACGAGGGAGGAGAAACTAGAATTTCAGTCTCTCATTCTGAAGTATTTAAATCTCACTTTCTGGAACTACCCCATCCCCTTTCTACCTCTCTCCAAAGGGCTGTAGCCTCTGCTCTACCCCTCATCTCAAGAACCCACGCTGTATCCCTCCAAACCCTGTTCAAGAATGCTCCAGATCAGGGGTCCGTAGGCACGAAGGCTGGGACAACACGGGGTCACGCGCAGGGCAAGCGCCAAATTGGTCGCAGGCGGGGGACCGGCGCTAAAGGCGGGGCTGCTAC